GGAACGATCACTTTTTGTTGAGACATTCAAAATACGTTTCGTCCAGCTGTTGATTAAATAGCAGTATCGACTGGGCTGTTTTGCCTAGCCAGTCTAGAGGAAGAAAAATCTGAATTAAAACCCTATTGCCTTATGAGTATCTTTGAGTGAAGAGAAGGCTAAGGAGTAAATTCTACAAAAATATGGATTTGTCAGATTACATTACTTCTTGGGACAAATATATTTACAAGAAATTGTTCCAAAATGTTTCTTCTGCAAGCGGAGTGCAGATGATTACTTACGGCCTTTTGCTTTTGGAACTCCAAGACATTCAATTCTTCAAGTTTTTCTTGTTTCTGTTGTCGCATTTTTATGCTTCGAAGCTCTTCATTTGCTTTTTTCAGTTCATCCTGAAACAGAAAAAAATGGTCAATTGAAAAAACAAGGTTCTAAACCATCCATATCCTTATTCGCAGGTTCTTGTCCGTTTGTACTTATAAATCTGTACATGCGTGTCTGTCAACATCTTACAAATGATTGCATAGATCTAAATTATAATTCTATGCGTTTTTTTTTATCTGAATCATACACTATTAAATTATCCATATATTCATGATGGAAGCAAAGCGAAAGGCAGTCTTTCTTAAGCGTGTACTCCAGAATGATGTGTATATCACCTAAGTATTAACGACAGACCCCAATGAATTAGTTTTCTTTAACGTGAAAGAGAATTGTGAGCGATTGAACACTAATCACAAGTGCAGCAATATTCGACCGGCCTGAATATTCGAGCAATCTTATCAAAGAAAAGATGCGCCCTTCTGTAGGATTCGAACCTGCGTCTGCCCTTAGCAGGAGAAACCTTCGTTAGAACTGACCTGCTTCAGACCAACTCGGCCATCAAGAATCTAACCGATCGAGCAAAGCCGAATAGTGCCTTGTAAGAACAAATTTTCCTCAGGTTCTGGAACATTCATATCTGCTCAGTAAACTTTAAATATTCAAGTTGATAAACGAAAATAAATAAATATACTGTTTAATAAATAAAAGTAGCATCTACTAAAATATGAGTATCCATTAAAAATAACGTTTAAAGTGATAAAAAATCTGTCAGATTTGTAGCCGTAATGTGGTTGAAATAGCGTAATAGGAATTTAAAAAATATTTGATAATTCAGTGCAAGGCATTTTTCATATTATCACGTTTTTTTTTCTTCTCCATTTGGGTGTATGTGTATGTGCGTGAGAACGTGTATGTGAGTGTGTGTATTTTGCTTACCCTCAACATGATTTGTTTCTGTTTTCTTTTTTTTATTTGTTCTTCATCTTCATCAAGCATCTGCGCAAGTTTCTTTCGCATCATTTCGTTCTCGGCATCTTTTGCTTCCAGATCGATCAATTTCCTTTGTTTCATTTCTAAGATCTGTTCTTTGATTTGTTCGGCACCCATGTACCGCTCCATTTTGCGATTTTTGTCGATCTCCTCTTGGATTTTGATAGCGTTCTGTCGGTCAACTTCCATCATCATATCCAGCCGGGATTCTTCCGCTGCCATTTCATCTTTAATTACCTTCTTCTCTTCGAGTTGCGCGTCGCGAATTGCGTGGCACTTGGCCTCGCGAATCAACTGCAGTGAAAAGAAAATGGTGGAGATAGGTGGAAAGGGGAGATAACTCGGGCAATAAAGGATGGGGGCCAATTTGTAAAAAGAATAGGATATGAAATGAGATCAAAAAACAGGAGAAGAACTCATAACCGTAAGTGGCAATGAATACATACATACAAACAGAGCAAGAAAAGGTCAAATCTATATGGGATCATCTTTTCGCACAAAAATATACAAATATTTATATAAATGTATAGATGGAGAGAGATATCAATATATTTAGATAAATAGGAATAAAGCAAAACAGATATGAGCAGACTGAGATAGATATATCTAATATTAATAGATAAATATGATACAGACTAGTATATATATATATATATATATATATATATATATATATTGAACTAATATAGATATGAACAGATCATATATATATATATATATATATATATATATATATATATATATATATATATATATATTTATATATATATACACACACACACACACACACACACACACACATATATATATATATATATATACTGAACTAATATAGATATGAACAGACTATTATATATATATATATATATATATATATATATATATATATATATATAAAAGAAGAGAGAAACCGCAAACGTTTTTTGGTTGTAATGTGGATTTTTTAAAAAAATATATTGTGCTTTATTTCCCTAATTTTGTTACACGTGTTTCCGGTCTCGCAACCTTCATCAGGCAAAGAATGGATATTTCCATTTATTATTAAAAGAAATTAATTTTTCTTTTGTTTTTCGATGTTAAATATTCTCGATATTAAGCATCCTTTTTTTTTTGTGTTAGTACGTATATATATATATATATATATATATATATATATATATATATATATATATATATATATATATATATATATATATATATATATATATATATATATATCAATGACCTATATTTCTGTCAGCATATATATATAAACCAATGACCTAGAGCAGTGATTTGTACCTTGGGGGCCACATTGCCACGCGAGGGCCTTGGTAAATGCTATGGTGGCTAAAGAAAAAAATTTAATTTGGGGTACCACAATTTCTGTGAAGTTGACTTATATATTTTAGTTCTTATAAACTGAAATTATGTAATTGAAATGCAGTAGAATCCCTCATATCCGAAATCCCTCCTATCCGGAATTCGTCATATCCAGAATCCCCCCCTATCCGGAGTGCCTCATATCCGGAATCCCGCATATCCGGAATCCCGCATATCCGGATACGATTTTGATGTGTATATTTGAATTATTTGGTTGATATTTAACTGATTTGAAATTTCTGTTTTTTAGAAAATTTACTTTGGATAATTACTTATGCTTATTTCGCCTTAATGGCTTTTATTGGTGTAAAAGATGAAGGGAATAAGAAACTAATAGACTACTTCAGGGAAAGAAACGGACAAGCGACTCGAAGGTGAATAAGATTAGTAAACATTAACTGAGATGAAATATCCGCTAGGCACGGAAAGCACAAAGAGAACAATCCTTGCTCGTTGATTGAATAAAGTGTTCTAATCAAAATTCTGAGAAGGTTATCGAATTGTGACTGACACCTGAAGAAGGCCGAAACGTTGTGAATATAATGTAGCTTTCCCCGTACCTTCTCTGTAAATATTTTAATAGTAATTGTTTCGGATGTTCTGGTACTTCGACTACAAATTAATCGCAGGACAATTTGGCTGTTATGTCTCATAATTTCACCACTGAAATGTTTAGATGCAACCGCAAGTTCTATGCTAAAAGTTTCTTCTCTCGCACTTTTAGCTTCTGGAACTCAATTCAAGTTTATTATTTTCTAGTCAACTTTGATCTTTCAACATTTGAAATGAAATGTCAATCGCTATCGTTTGTCTTTTTAATTCCTGTTCATTTACTGTTCTCTCCTCTTAAAGTTTTCTTTTCCTTATATTCTCTCACTGTCAGTAATCCATTGCGTCTTAGTGGCTTTATATCCTTGCTTGGGATGAAATGATAAAAAAAGAATATAGCAAATAAGATGGGTATGATGGCCTGAATATAAGGGTAAATAATGATGAAAAATTAGTAAATCGAAAGATACGAAGAGAACGAGAGATAAATGGGCCTCATTTTATTAAACATTTCTCATAAATTAAGATTTCACTTGCAGTTAATAGAAATAATGGAGCTCCACAGTGGGGATACCAGTCGGAAATATACCATTCTCTCAAGCAGACGAGAATGGAGTATAGAAAAGTGGTTTCAAGTACCAAACTTTCTCTCATGTACGAGGGAGTTATTCTCCCAGTTATTCGCCAGAATTTTTTTACCCCGTTCAAGTCCAGGACGTGTTTTGTATTTTATTGCGCGAATCATAATAAAAACTTAATCCTGTCCAGTATTTGGGTTCCTGATCTCAAAGCTGAGTTGCAGAAACACTGATCACATTAGCACCATGGATTTTTAAATCCCTGACCAAGAGCTCTACATTGAATTCAAATAAGCAGACGATAAATTGCCGTCGATAAGATACTAGGTCGCTTACCTCATTAAGATATTTAATTTCTTGCTCTTGTTCTTGCTTGCTTTCATTTGCCTTCGACAGTAGATCCTGGGCATTGGCTTTGGCATCTCCTTCCAGTACCAAAAGACTTTCCGCCTTTTCTCTTTGCAAATCCTTCTTCTTCATAAACTGTTCCCGCTCGAAGCGTTCTTTCTGAGTTTTCTCTTTTTGTGTTCTGTGGAATTCTTCGATTGTTCGCAGCTCTTCGTCCGTTAAAATTCGGGCGTTGTCTTTAATTCGACTATACTCCCTAGGATCCAGCACCAGTGAACGTCCTGAAGGATCTTTGTCGGGAACCCTGCATAATAAATAAATAAAATAAACAAACGAGTTTGATTCTATAATGGATTTCATATTAGCTTTAGAGACCTCTTCGAAGGTAAATTATTCGAAATTAGCCATAATGAAATTTAAAATGTCTTCTGACGCCCTACATTATTAAAATAATTCATCACCCACAAGTCCGTATAGACGCTTTTACATAAATATAAGATATATTTTTTAATGAAAGTTTTTTGGTAATTTTATCAGCTTGAATATGTTTCCTGGTAAGGAATAAGTGAAAGTTGTTTACATGTTGGTTAATGAATTTTTTGGCTTAGTATCTGGGAGTTCAATCCCTGGATCGGGTAAGTGTAGAGGAGGGTGAGCAAGAGGAAAAAGAAAATGACAATATATCCCTTTTTTTTTCTTTTTTTAATTGTTTCACCTCAAACAATGCCACTGGAACGATGGATTCATACCTTACCTAAGGGTATTTGCGTGTAAGTGTATATAACGAATTAGAACTCTGCTGTCCGATTAACAATTCCAAGTCATTGTCCATTACACCACCCGCACATCCAACCTCTCAAGTGGTCACCCATGTAGGTACTGACCAGGCTCGACGTTGCTTAACTTCGGTAATCGTACTGGAACCGGTGTTTCAACGTGATGTGACCGTAAGGTTGGGAAGAAACTGTCTAAGTGGAACTTACTTTCTATTAATATAAGGGAATGAGTATGATTCGCACCCTGTGGGCGTGGCGCGGTGGGTCCCAGCTGCAAAGGTCAGGGTTGGCGGAAACAAGGAATATAGGGCGACAGAAGATTTGCCATGAAAATGGCGTTAGAGTAGTGAGAAGGTCGCGACGTTTCGCCTGTGCGAAAGGGTTTGCAGGCGGGAAATAATTCATCACCCACAAGGACGCAGAGACACTTCTGAACACTATCAAGACAGACAAGTGGAGATTGGGCTGCTCTAGCAATACTCCATTTTTTTATCTGGCTCTTGTAAAGTTGGTGGTAGAGTCACATACTTACTTACGGTACGAACATCTTTAGCAGTGGATCGTATATATGGATTCCACTCGAAGTCTGGTGCTTGAGTCCAAATAGATGTTCAAGGCAAGCAATCTCCTTGAAAGAACACCTTTTCCACCATGAAAGGTGAAAGTTCAGGATCTACTCAGTAATGTTCGAATTTTACTAGTTATTATTTCTAGTCTATATATTTGTTTTTTTTTAAAGCGTTTCACCCAAAGTAAGGCGCGAGTGCCACTAGCCCGCAAGGAGCTACAGAGAGTGAGAGCGAGAGTAAAGAGGGGTGTTTGAAGAAAGCATATAGAGGAGGACGGACATCAGTATCAAGGCATCAGAAGATGTCGATTGATATTACATTTAAAGGTTATAGCTATCAGGGAAGCAAGGAGTAGGAAGGGAGTTCATCTGACGGGAAGTGCGAGTGTAGACGCTTTTGGAGTAGAAGAAGCGGTTACATTTAACTGTTTCAACAGTGAAAGGGTGGGACCGAGATGCCAACCTAGTAGCACGCTTAAATTCATCCAGTTCGGGTACCAGTGAAAATAGCTCGTCGGAGCAGTTGCCATGAATATATTTGTAGAAAAGACAGAGGGAAGCCACTTCACGTCTATGAGAAAATGACTGGAGTCAAGATGCTAGGTCAGGACCTATCACATTGCATATCCTTCTTTGGATTTTGTTGAGAACCTCAAGATGAACAGTGGGGGCACAAGACCATATGTGGCAACAGTATTCAATGCAAGGACGAATGGGAAATTTATAGACTTGACGGATGGACTCAGACGCGAAAAACCTTCTGATGCGACACAGAGAACCAACTTTCCTTGCTGTAGATGAAGCTATTGATTCAATGTAGTTGCTCCACCTCAGGTCAGTGGAAAACGTGAGTGCAAGAAGGCGTAGAGAGACGTTCTCGTGAAGTTGAGCATCAACCATGCTGATGCTGATGTGCATCTTATGTCTATATGTATCTTATATTTATTACGTTTCCAATAAAAGGTAATCTTTTTTAGGCATTTCACCCCAAGCAAGATAGGAGTGCCACTAGTACGTTGAGTGAAAGTGAGAGAAAAGAGTGGGTGTAGGGGGATTGAGGAAAGGAAAAAAACACATAGATCAAGGCAACAGAAGATGGCGGTTGACGTTGCATTTAAATTTCCAGTTATCAAGTAAGTGGAAGGGAATTCTAATATCATGGAGTGCGAGGAAAGAAACTGTTGGAGTAGAAGTAGTGGCTATATTTAACTATTTCAACAATAAATATGTGGGACCTAGATGCCAATCTAGTAGCACGCTCCAATTCATGTTGTCGGGGGCACCAGGGATAAAAGATCGTCAGAGCAGTAGCCATGAAAATATTTGTAGAAAAGACAGAGGGAAGCTACATCACGTCTGTGAGAAAGCGCCTGAAGTCGAGACGCCAATTCAGGACCGATTACGATACAGATCCTTCTTTGGATTTTGTCGAGAACCTCGAGATGAACAGCAGGGGCACCAGACCAAATATGGCGACAGTATTCAATCTAAGGGTGAATGGTCAATTTGTAAATGTGCAAGATGGATTCTGACGAGAAATACCTTTTGGCACAGCACAGTGAACGAACTTTCCTTGCAGTAGATGCGGCTATTGATTCAAGTCAGTTGAAAACGTGAGGCCAAGAGGCGCAGTGAGATGCTCTCACGGAGATGAGCGTCAACCATGCTGGGACGGGGGGCAGGGACGTTGTAATAAAAATATTGAAATATTTATATCTGTAGCGTTGTTTTTTAATTAATCACTTTTTTATTTTTGCGAAATATTTAAAAAAAATAATTACATACTTTCTTTCATATTTTAAAAAAAATCAATTCACCCTAAGCAATGAGATAACGACATTAAGACACAAGGGGCTATTGGATGTAAAAGAGAAGGACAATACAGAAAACTCAGTCCTAAAAAGGGGACAAGGATAAACCCATACTCCTGTTCAAAAGACGTGGAGTGTGAACTGGGCGATAGGAGAACCAGTTTAATTCTATTGAGGTAAAAATCTGAATAAATAGTAAATAAATGTTAAAAGTTCAGAGTTCAGAGTTCAGGCTGAGATGTCAGAGGTATAGAGTTGAAGTCGACTTTAGAAGGAACCGGAAACCCAACCTTAATAGGAAACAAGGAATAAAACTTTACTCTTGTTCAAGAAATCGGGAAGGAGTGAATATTTAGAATATATATGAATATTTATATATATATATATATATATATATATATATATATATATATATGTATTCAGAAATTTAAAGTAAAAATAAAATTTATCTGGAATACTTAAATGCAAAATTTATTTTAATTATTTACTTTCTTTCGTTATGAATAGAAATCCCCCCTCCTCTTTGTTACAAAATGGCAGAGTATCCGTTTTTATTTTAGTTTCTCTTCGTATCAATTTCCGTTGCTTTCTCACAATTAATTTCACTCTCTCTGTCGCTCTATTTCAGTCGATCTTTCTCTCTCTGGATTTCTCTCTCTCTCTCTCTCACTCTCACTCTGTTTACCTATTTCAGCCTCTCTCACTTTCTATCACTTTGTCTCTATTTCACTCTTTTTATCACATTTTCAACCTCTCTTTTTATCTCTATCTCAATCCCTCTCTATAATTCAGTTTCTATCTCTATCTCTCTATTTCAGTTTATCTCTTTTTCTCTCAATCTCTGTGCAAGTTTCTATATCTCTCTTTCAGACTCTCTCTCACTTTCTCTTTCTTTCAATCTTTCTTTCATTCTATCTCTATTTCTTTCTTCAGTCTCTCTCTCTCTGTTTCCTGGTTCAGTCTCTCTCTATCGCTTCCACCCTCTCTCTCGATTTATATCTTAATCTGTTTGGGTTTATAACTCTCTCTCTCTCTCTCTCTCTCTCTCTCTCTCTTTATTTCTGTCTTTGTTTTCGCTTCTGTTACTATATGTCTTCCTTGTCGACATTCCCCACTACTTCAAACAAAAAGTTAGGAAGGAAACGCCCATCAGTACTGGAAAGAGCGATAACAGCTATTGGCTTGAGGAACCCATTTTTGTGAAAAACTGTCTCAAATGGAAGATTTTATAAATTTCTACCGACAGTTCAGTTAATGAATGCCGAATGTTTTCTTATTAGGAAACGGTTAATGTTGCCATTACTATTGTCTTTTTTTTTAAAAATCACACTCACACCAAATTTCTGATGAGATCCATCATAATAATCTGTACACTCTCTTTCTCCTTGGTTGGCTTTTGTCCGGCCCTTTTCTCGTCCTGTTCGATTGCGTTGTCCTGAATCTCCTCCAGGGGTCCCGCTGATCTATTCTGTTGTTTCAGTTGAACGTGATTTGGTTGGCCGAATAAAGTCTCGTCAACCTGCGAATGGTCACTAACTGTCCGATATTGTCGGTGACGGCGATTCCGTGAAGAGGTGGACGAACTGCTCACTCGTGTGTTGATGGACTGGAGAAAAAAAAAAAAAAAAAAAAGGGAGGAAAAAGAAAAATACGATCAAGAAGGAATGAAAATTTGATAGAGAAATGGATAGAAAATAGGCAATTTGGAAAAGGGGTGTTTAATTAAATCAAGTAATTAACTGATAGGAGAAAATAGAGGAGAAAGTCACATTGAAAAAAGAGACAGATTAAAATAGAAAAGAAAGAAAGGAAGAAAGAAAGAAAAGAAGAAATAAATAAAGAAAAGAAGGAAGAAATAAAGGAAGAAAGAAAGAAAGAAAGGAAGGAAGAAAAGAAGAAATAAATAAAGAAAGAAAGAAAAGAAGAAAGAAACAAAGTAAAACAAAAGGAAATCGAAAGAAAAATAAAGAAAATAAAGAAAGAAATATTTGGCAGAATTAGAAAGAAAAAAATGAAAAAAATTTCAGAATTTGAAAGAAAGAAAGAATTTTCAGATGAATTAGGAAAAAAAAAAAGAAAACTTTAAAAAGAATAAAAAAAATGAAAAGTGTATATTAGGAAGGAAAGAATGTGCTAAGAATAATCAAGAGTGGTCTCCCCTTGTTTTGTTAGTCTCCTCTCTGAGAGAGCTATTTCTGTTTACTGGGACTATAAAAGGACACTATATGCGAACCTTCTATTCTCAGTTGAATAAAGCTTTCTTAAAGCCTAAACCTGCGTACTTTTGTCATTGCAGAATGAAAAGTAATATTTAATTTAAAGTAGGAAGGAAATAAAGAAAGTCGACAGAAAGGAAAGAGTAAATAAAAAACTGATCGATTGAATCATTGCAATGAAAACAACAAAGCTGTTATTAAAAATTGATTGGATGTTGTGAAATTAATCACTCTTATTAGTTTCAGAACTTCCGTTGAAGTGATTGTCAGCCAAAAATGTTGTAATGGAAATAGTAAAGGTTAGAATATTGCCCGAATAAATCAGGGAATACAAAAATACTTGTTTTTTTTTGTGGATCAGACATAAAGATAAAGAAGTTGATATGTTGTCAGCAAATCATCGAAAGGTGATGATCAGAACAAATCAAAGGGTAAAATATAGGTGAAGGAAGGTATCAAAGAATTTAAATTAGGAATGGATGAAATTAAGGGTGATAAAACTAAACAGTAAAAAAAGAAAAAAGATGAAGAGGGGGATACAGTGAGAGTGAGAGAGAAAGAAAGAAAGAAAAATAAATAAATAAAAGAGAGAAAGAGAGAGAGTGTAAAATAGGCGAAGAAAGGAATGAAATAATTTAAAGTAGAAATGAAGTTAATAGAGATAAAAAATGAGTAAATTAAAGAAGAAAAAAGGAGAGAAAGAAAGAGAGAGAAAGAAAGAGAGAGAAAGAAAGAGAGAGAAAGAGAGAGTGAGAAAGGAAAGGAAAAGAAAAACAGAGCGCAGATAAATGCAGAAGGGGAAAAAGAAAGAATGCATGAAAAAGGGACGAAATACGATAAGAGGAGAGAAGGAAGAAAAAAGTGTGAAGGAAGTTGAAGAAGGAAAAAGTAAATAAATAGGGAATGAAATCAAAAGAAAAAATGTAAGAGAAGAAGAAAAAATACTTCAAATGTTGGTATTCATTGGGACAATTTTACAACTTCCATTCACCACACACACAAAAAAAAAAGGCTGAAAATGCTCAGATTCAAATGACAGCAAATCACTTTCGAATTCTCGACATTTTTGTTAGCAAGTCCGTCTTGCAGACCCCTACTAGCGTTGTAAGCTGGATCTTCACTGAATACCGCAGTAAATATAATAATCTAGGTCTAGTCGATATTTCAGTCGGGTTTCATCAATATATTTTGTCCCAAAAGACATCACATGTAAATAGGTACCTCCACTTTTTTTTGCTAAAAAAAGCACAGCATGACGAAAAATAAGTCAATAAAAACAAAATTTGATCGTCAAAATGTTTATGTTATTATTAAGAGGAAAGACCAAAGTATTTTTTATTATTTTTGAAATTTTTTTAATCCTTTCTAGTACGTTCGAAATTTTGGTTAATAATCTTTTTTATTTTTTGTTACGTCAGCAGTTGACGTAATATTCATGATTAGTGCTTTTTGCGTTTTTTTCCGGTGAAAAACATTGATTTGGAAATTCTTGCAAAAATCAAATAATTGTCAGATTTTAATGAAACTTTCAGGACTTATTCACAAATTAATGAAATTACATATTATTTTTTTAGAAAGTCTTGTTAAAAATATTTTAGCGTATGTTTCCCTTCCCCTTACATGCAGTTTCGAGAAATTAAATTTCCTTTCCAAAAAATTTTTATTAATAAAAAGTAGGACTTCTTGGAGAATGTAAATCATCCATTTTTTCCAGACAGGATCATAGTTACCGAAAATCTGCTCTGAATCGTAAACTAAAAAATAAAGTAAAACTATAATATTATTTAATTAGAGAAGTTTTTAATTACTTTTATAAATAAGATATATTAAGGACACTATTGTCTTAAGAAGAAAAAAATTCGATGAATAATGAATTTTTACAAGAATTGTTTTCTTTTTTAAAATTTTAATTATAATAATCTATAATAATTTATAATAATTTTAAAAAATCGTTTAAAATTCTGCATTACTTCCTTTCTTTTAGGTGATATTGTAATTATGAGGAAACTATGTTTACGAATCAAAAATTGAAAAGCTTAATAAAAGTCGATTACCACGAATATTTTAAAAATAATTTGTAATTTTTTAATTTAAACATTACCATTTTTCTATTTATGGTCGTCTAGATATTACATTATTATTAAAAGTTCACTTGTTGTAAGTATTGTCCACCCTTTACTGAGGAATTCGCTTGTTTGCAATACATTATGAATTCATGTTTACCTCTAAACATGTTTTGAACATCACCCCTTCAAAGTTTTAAAACTTTAATTATTAGATAATTGCTGAAAATATTATGTTAATTTGTAAAAATTAAAAGATAGTTAAAATAAAAAATGCGTTCACTTAGATTTCGTAAATATATGTCAATTCTGGTCATTCATACTAACTGTCTACACCTTTTACACCGTCAATAAGACCAATTAACACGCCAGAAAAACTGGACACGTTGGTTAAGAAATGCTTGTATACGACATTTTTTATGCGAAAAGTAATATTTGTTTCAAATCAGATCAATTTAAGTTTAAATTTGATGATTTTCCTCGAATAACGTGTAACAAATATTTTATTTTTGGCAGATTTTTAAAACTGATAATTTATTTTGTTCACGGGAAATAGTAAATTTAATCACTTAGCTTTCAGTTAAAGCTATAATTAAATTTCCCAAAATGATTTTTCATTTAAAAAAAAATTATTTTAAACCTTACATACCGAAAATTCAGTGGAGATGCCTATATGCAAACAGTAACATTTTCTGAATTAAACGTAGAAAAATAAACATTACCAATCAGATTCTTATTATCAATTACGAATAAAACAAGAAGATTTTTCAATCATATATAAATAACTTTTTTATATGGCGTGTCCCATCAGTTCCATGGTTCATCATGGCTTTTAAAAAATCATTTCACCCCAAACAAGGCAATAAAACCACTAAGACTTAAGGGGTTTGAAAGAATATGAGATAATAACATTATTAA